AATTTGTGCAGGACTTCTCTCGCATTTCCTTGGAGTGGGCCGAAAAGTGCCACCATCTATTACGATGAAGCCAAACTTGCTGTCACCTGAAAGTGGTACCTAAGAGCCTCTGCATGGAATTTGTCCTCACCCAAATACAATGACGTATTCATTGGTTTGAAAGGCTCAAAGTCGATTTTGACTTTCTTTTCCTTTCCTTCTTCTGTTACAGTTGTTCCACAGTAGACTACCAGACCATTTGGAGGCACTTTATTATTAAGTTTGAGTCTCTGGTGTACAGACGTAACGGCTCCCAAGACTGAAAGGGAGTTTGCTCTTGACTTAATGTTAGATGTAGTTCCAAAATCATCTGCTAACTGATAGAGTTCTCTACCAGACAAAATGGCCCTGACAGTCCTACACTCTAAACTAAAATGGTTCCCTTTTATGAAAATGAGCCACTTGGCGGGGGAGTGAAACCTGTCCCCTCAGGAGAAGCAAAACCTAACTTGTTGCTCCACCTTGCTACATGGGATCCTCCCCTTCCAATCACCTGGCGCCCCATTGCCTGCCCAACAACCAGACCGATTCTTGACTCTCCCCACTGCACCGCCCTATATAATCCTCACCCGAGTCCATCTTGCCCTCTCTCGCCACTGTTCGAGGTAGCTCGGCAACTCTTTCCTCCCAATACACCTTGTCTCGAGTACTCATTTTCTTGAACTAACATTTTTGCCACTTGTGAAATCTGGTCTTTGGGAGGAATGATCAATAATATCATGCTGGTGCCATCATTGCTGCGGGCTGCTTCCAAGCTCTTCCGAGCTTCTTGATCTTCCAGATCTCCACGTGCGGGTGGGCAGCACTGGGGTTGACCGCCATCTTCTCGCCTCCTCCCTAGAGCGGCCCCACCGGCGGGGAGACACCAAGGCCACAGAGCGCCCCGCTGGAGCAGGGCGGGCCCCATTCCTCATGTCCCCCAAGAGACCCTCCTCTCCCTACCTCTTGGAGTCTCCTCGTTGGCCACTGGTCTTTCCTTCCCCTGCCTTACCTCAGTGTAGAATGTTTTAAGGCTGGACAATGGTTCCTCATGGATCACACTTGGTTCCTCCACCCCTCTGTCCACTCAATTAGGTTGCCTCCATCTTCTGGCTGTCTTGAACAACGCTGCTACGAACACGGGCAAACAAACTCCCAAACATTCCATTCAAGTATCTGGATATGTACCCACAAGTGATAATGCTGGACAATATTTGACTATATTTTTAATTATTTTAATACAGGGTATCATGTCATTGTATATTCCAGGCTTGCCTCCAACTCTCAGGGACCCTCCTGCCTCAGGCTCTCGAGTAGAAAGAAAACAAGAGCAAAGAAAACCCGTGACACTAGGACATCACTTATTGGCAATTCCAGGGGGCACAGGACCTCTAAGGGCTGCTGAACTTCCTGTGCCAGAAAGCAGAACCCAACACTGGGGAGATTCTCTAGGACCAAGTGTGATCTACAGATTTCAAACCCAGCCAGGGTAAAAGTGTGAAAGCCACAAGCTGTCAGAGAACGCAAAAACATTTAGTTTTGTGATCATAATTAACTTTATTTTTGATTCCAGAATCAGGCAGCAGTTGACTCCACAAAATAGAATAAATGGTCCAACGAGCTGACCAGAGAAGGCTGGTGTTTCCAGACCAGAAGGAAGAAAGCAGAAACAAAGAACAAAAAGTAAATTTCAAGGCTGCTTTCCTGGCCAGGCAGGACCGGGAGGCAAAATCACTCAGAAGTAACTCGTTAGTCCAAGTGAGTAGGAGGAGGGCAGAGTACTAGAGGTCACGAGATTGGAGCTGGCCTGCATGGGAACCTGGCTGTTTCCAGTCCTGTTTCTGGGCATGTCAGATAAGCAGCTTTGTTTCATCTTGGGGACATGAAACTTCGCATGAGCAACACCACCTTTATGTTTTAGCCTGGCCTATAGAGGAGTTTAGTCCAAAATAATGACTTCCTGAAACCTTTATTAAACAAGATCAACAGTCCCACCCAAACAGTGAGTAATTGACAATATTGTTCACATAAGCTCTACTTGTAAAAATTTTATTTTTAATGCATTACCTTTTAAAAAACAAAATGCCATACATAAAAATAGAATATTATGGGGCCGAGGATTTAGCTCAATGGCACCACGCCTATCTCACAAGCACAGGGTGCTGAGTTCAATCCCCAGTACCAAAAAAAAAAAAAAAAAAAGAACATTCTGAACCCCCATGGACCCATTACTCAGCTACAAAATGGTCAGCTCGGCTCCCAGAGGCCCTATGAGTTCATCTGTCGGTGTTCCACCCTCTAGAACATGTCTGCAGAAGGTTGTAACCAAGCAAGAGCCTGAGGATGTTGTCCTGGACCAGGAATGGCTGCAAACTTTGAGCATCTGCAGATCTGAGACAAAAACAAAGATGTGGCTGGAGACTGAGGAATGGTCAGCTCGGCTCCCAGAGGCCCTATGAGTTCATCTGTCGGTGTTCCACCCTCTAGAACATGTCTGCAGAAGGTTGTAACCAAGCAAGAGCCTGAGGATGTTGTCCTGGACCAGGAATGGCTGCAAACTTTGAGCATCTGCAGATCTGAGACAAAAACAAAGATGTGGCTGGAGACTGAGGAGCAGAATATAATCACTGCATGTTTTCATAAAGCCACAAGGATACAGCTAAAAGAGAGAGAAAAAAAAAGAGAAACAGAAGATGTCATCACTCGAGCCACAGACTGGGAACCAGTGGTCCCTCAAAGAAGCAGAGAGAAATACTTAGTAGAGGAAGGTTCCTCTACTAACTGAATAAGGCAGGTGAGGCACAGGAAGGAGGAGCCAGAGAGGTTTATTTCAAGGAACTCTCCCCACCCATCTTGCAGCAGTCACATCAGGACAGAACTACAACTATGAAGATCTTTTCTTTTTCTAAGATCTTTTTTTTTAGTTGTTTTGTTTTTTGCGGGGGGTTGTTTTGTTTTGTTTTTTTTGTGTGTGTGGTACCAGGGATCGAACTCAGGTCCTTGCGCTTGCTAGGCAGGCCACCGAAACGCTGAGCCTAATCCCCGGCCCCTTTTTTTAAGATCTTAATTGGCTTTATTTTGTACTCAAAAATCAGGTTGGGCTGAGGATTTAGCTCAGTGGTTCCATCACTTGCCTCTCAAATACAAGGTCCTCAGTTTGATCCTTAGTACCAAAAAAAAAAAAAATCAGGTAACATTTTACTCCATTAAATGGTTAAGTGTTCTCATGATCCCCACAAAAGAGGTTGTTTTTATAGAGGAAAGGGCCTTGGAGGAAGCAGAAACAAAGAACAAAAGCAGATCTGTCATTTCAAAGTTACTTTGCTGCCGAGTGGGCCTGGTGTTGCATTCCTGTGATCCAAGCACTCAGGAGGCTGAGTTAGAAGGATCTCAGAGAGTTTGAGGCCTGCCTGAGCTACATAGTGAGACCCTGTCTAAAAAAAAAGGACAAGAGGGGAACTAGTACGTGGGGATGTGTTGAAGGTATCCCTGGGAGCCTGACCCATTCAGTGTGTGTGCACATGTGTGTCTGTGTGTCTGTGTTAGAAGCTGAGACCAGAAAGACAAGGACAAGCCGGGTGCAGCCAAGTGAGGAGGGTGTGTAGAGAGCATTCCAGGCAGAAAAGCCGGCTGTTGCAGAGGGGACGGAAGTGGCAGGCAGGCAGGAAGAGAGGGAGGGGAGGGGAGGTGGTGCCGGGGGTAAGCTGGGCCTGGCAACAACAGAGGGCCTGGTGCAAGGTCCCCTCCTGCAGCAGAGGACCAGGATGGCTTCTCACATGCACCCCTTTGGGGAGTCACCCCCTGTGGTTGTCCTGGTCCCCCATGGTCATAGCAGTGCCACAGAACCAGGAATCACTTCCAGTCATGGAAACAGATCCATGGCAAGAGAAGGGGCTGCTTTCCTCCTTGTCTTCTTTTTAGATCACCATAACCCTTCCTCCAAGCCCCTGCCCCTAAGGCCCACCTTCCTTCCCAGGCCAAGGCTGGGTTTCACCTGCACATGGGAGTTCACTCAACACCCCCACACAACCAGTGCAGCAGGCTCACTGGAATTCACCTGAGTCAGGTAGGCAGGGGAAGGGTGCTGCAGACACTGCATGCCCCCAGATGCCCCAGGTCTCCCTTGAGTCCAAGGAGACATCAACTCATTTTGTAGGCTTATGGGGAGCTTCTTTTGGGTCACTCCACATGGATCTCAGGTGTCGCCAGCCAAGGGTGTGCAGTTCTCAGCTTGCAGTGGTTTCCTCCATATCCCCCAGAGCTGAGAGAAGGGACAGAGGTCCGGGGGGGGGTGCACGCCAAGGCATTGTGGGGGAGAACAACATGAGACTTGGAGCAGGCAAGCGGAGAGAGTGGTTTCCTCCATATCCCCCAGAGCTGAGAGAAGGGACAGAGGTCCGGGGGGGTGCACGCCAAGGCATTGTGGGGGAGAACAACATGAGACTTGGAGCAGGCAAGCGGAGGGATCTGGTCCCCAGGCTGCCCCATCAGAAGTTGCCTGAGTCACCATCGGGGGCTGCCCAAGACCATGGTCACCCGCAGACATAGATGCTGGGTGGTGTGGTCGCCGTCCCTAGGTAGTCATCCTAGCCTGAAGTTAGGGGTCTGCCCAAGAGAGGGGACCCCAGAAGCAAGAGGTCTGCTGCACATGCACCCTGTACCACTGGAGCTCCAAGCCACACAGGCCCAGACCCAAGAGGGGCGCATCTGGCGTGAGCTCACTGACCCCCACAGTCTTCCAGGCCTGCCCCAGTCAGCTGAGGTCTGAGCAATGCTCCCACCCCCAGGGCGGGGGGTGTGGAGGAATTTCCAGGGCACCATCTCCAGAGGATCCTGCTGGGTGAGAACCCGTCCTAGGAGGGGTGGAGGACGGCGGCCTGGGCACTGCATGGAGGAGGCTGAGACTGGATGTGGGTGCCGGCCCCTTGTGTGGGCCTGTGCTTCACGTGGGGAAAAAGCAGGTACAAGGTAGAGATGCTGCGCTTTATTGGGGAAGGGCAGACCAGGAGGGAGCTGCCTATGGGGCATCAGGGCCCAGTTCCATGAACAGGGCTGAGAGGGGCAGCCTCATTTCTGGTGGCTGAACTTCTTCCCCGTGGCCCCATCAGAGCCTTGGTTGGCAGCCTTGTCGGTGGCTTCCTGGGGCTTCTCAGCTCCTGGGGAGGCAGGGGCGATGCGTAAGGACAGCGCTGTTGCTGGCTGTCCTGCACTTGGCAGGGGTGGGGCGGCTCCCTCCCCAGGAGGCACCGCTGCAGAGGACCCTCCTCCTCCCTGCAGCCCCTAGACCTTTCTGTGCAGCCTCGGGGGGGTCCACTGACTGGCCTGCAGCGGCACCTGTCAAGAGAGGGGCAACGAGATCCCTGTGAGTCACTAGGGAGCCCTTGCTGACCACAGCCCCACCCCTGCCCCCTCCAACCCAAGGGACGGAAGCAATTGGGGTGAAATCCCTGTCCCTGCTGCCTGAGCTCCAGGGATCTTCGCCTTCCCCTCAGGGCCCTGATGGAGCCACTGGGGACCAGGTGGGGCCCTTCCTACCGGCACTCCCCTACCAATGGGCTCTGGCAGCGTCTGGGACTCCTGGTGCACCGCTGTCCCTCACCTCCGCTGGCCTATCACCCCTTGCTACTGGTATGGTCGGGTGTCGCTGGAGTCTCCAGCTTGGTGTGCAGACCCACAAGGGCCCCTCTCTGAGCATCCAGGAGGTGCATGCGGGTCATGCCAGGGGAGGGCACCCCACTCACCTTCCTGGCCCGTCCCCTCCACCTGCTGCTTCAGGTCCTTCAAGCCCTTGCTGGCCATGGCACTGGGAGGTTTGTGGGTGCCTAGGACAGCTGTAGTGAAGCCGGATCCTGTGGACCACGGTGCAGACCCAAGCACAGCTCAGGTTTTCAAGGCCTCCAGGCTGGCCCGCCCCGTGGGGGGGCTGAGGGAGGTTCCAGGACATGGGCTGACCCATGGCAGGCCCTGCCCAGGGCACTGCTGGGGGCCAGGGGGAGCTGGCAACAGTGCAGACCCCTGGGGGCCCACTGTGGGGAGGTGTGGCCCGAGCCAGGGTCCCAGGAGGGACTGGAGTGCCGCGGCTGTGGGCCAGCCTCCCAGAAAGTGCTGAGGGGCAGGAGAGAGTTCCCACACCTCTGTCCCCTGGGGGCCCAGCTCCTTCCTCCTCACCCCTGAGGGTCCCCACTCGCTCAGGAATCAAGGCCGCAGGTGACACTGATAGCAGCTGCCACAGTAGGCACAGCCCAAATGCTTTGTGACAACCACTTGTACAGTTTGTGCATCACCTGGTCGAGAGAGGAGACTGAGGCAGAGAGGGGGTGGAGTTGGTGGACTCTGACACCGTGGGACGGGCTCTGGGACCACAGACCACCTGTCCCCCCCTGGACCCTGTGGACACAGACAGGGAGGTCGGGTGAAGACCCCCAGGGAAGGGGGACACTGTCAGGAGCAGGTGAAAATGACAGCCCAGAGCGGGAAGCAGAAAGGAAGGTGCTGTCCTGTGCCACACTGGGGAAGGGGACACTCGGAGGCCACCAGTGCCTGACCAGTTGGGAGGAAGCACTGCTCAGGCAGGCAGGAAGCTGCGGGTGTTTGCTTTACTCTCCCAGAGAGGGTGATGCTGCTTGTCATCCGGCCCAGGAAGGAAGTGGAGGGATGGCCAGTCCAAGGAGGCGACAGACACTGGGGCCAGACCTCTGGGGTCTGGGACCCGGGGACCCGGCCCCTCCATGAGCCTCTCCACCTGACCTTGCTGTGAGCTCACCAGCACAGTTTCCGATGTGCCTTGTGAGGGGAAATGGTTTCGGGGCTTCAGTTGATTTGTTCACTTGGACGAGGGTCCTTGCGGATGGAGGATAAGAGATTTGAACAAGGAAAAAAGAATTATTCTGCAAGGAAGCCAGGTGTGGTAGTGCATGCCTATGATCCCAGCACTCAGGAGGCTGAGGCAGGAGAATCACAAGTCGGACACCAGACTGGGCTACATAGTGTATTCAAGGCCAGCTTGAACTGTGTGAGATCCTGTCTCAAAAAGAAAAAACAAACAAACAAACAAACCCCATCTGAATTCCTCCTAAATTTCAAGCTCCTCGGTCTTTGGGGGAGGGAGGAGGAAGAGGGCAAGGTTAGGACAGGACCCAGGCCTGAGACTTTCCATCACCTCTCCAGTGGTCTGGAACCACCGTTGTGAAAGCCGGTTGTGGTACACACACAGCACAAGGTCGTGATGCCCTGTAGACCTCAAAAACGTCCTAATTCTTATCTTGGCGTCTTGCTGGGTTTGGGATTGGGTAAGCAGAGGGCAGACCGGGCTGTATCACCACTCCAGACAAACATTCCTCGGGTGACTAAGGTGTCTACACACAGAGTTAAAGTCTGACCGAGATTAGGGTAGCAGAGGGCGCGGACACACTGTGGAGGCCCAGGGGCCTGGCTCTTCATCCTGCTTTAGTCGCAGCACGAGGGGCCTTCAAGTCCCTGAGGAGTGACCCAGGCAACTGTCATCCTCGGAGCCCACACGACAAATGTCACCTGCAGCAAACTTGCGGGGGGCTAGTCATACATTGCTGTGTGGTGGGATCTCCAAACTTCATGATTTTCAGGTCAACTAAAAGCAGGTGAAGCTGGAGGCTTTGTTTTGGGGCTTTTTGTTTATTTGTTTTAGTTTGGGTTTTTGAGACAGGGTCTCTATGTAAGGCAGGCTGGCTTCGAACTTGCGGTGATCTTGCTGACTCGGCCTCTCGAGTGCTGGGAGTACAGGTGTGCAACAATGTCCAGCTGTTAAGGATTTTGAGGGGTCACATGCCTGACACGGGCAGAGAGCCCTGCAGGAGGCAGGGTAGAGTGGTGGGGGCGCGGCAAGTGGGGTTTAAAGACAAAGAACCCTGCAGGTGCCCTTGGGTGGGAGCAACTTTGTGGGAGGGATGGAGGCTAAGACAGGTCTTGCGTGTGTGTACATGCGTGTGTCCAGAGAGTGAGTGTAGAGCAGAAGCAGAGGGGCCCTTGCAGACTCCCGCAGCTGAGGCAGGGCACTGAGCCCGGGGAAGCCTGTTCCCAGGGCCCCATCTGGTGCCCCACAGTACCCCAAGGAGACCCTGCTCCCCTCATGTTCTGTCAGGCACCCCAGGCTGCAGCAGCTCCCGCTCCTATGCACATGTAGGTGAGAGCAGGACCTTCCCTGCCTGCCTGAGCACCCCCACTTTGCAGGAGCAGCACCCGCTCCTTCCTGCCTCCCAGCAGTGGATGGCCCTGGCCGTGTGCCCAGGAATCCACCTGGCATGGCTGCCCTGGGCCCCCACTCCCCAGAGCAGGGGAGGTGGTGTGGACGGACCTGTCTGGAGTCCGGACACCCCGGCCGGAGACCCTGGAGAATTGCTTCCAAGCTCTGGGCTCCAGGTAGATGTGGTAGGTGTCGAGGTCCCCAGACAGCAGGATTCTGAGTCCAGTGCAAGTGGCCCTGGGTGGGCACTGAGTAGCCTGGTGTGGAGTCTGCACTTGAACCTGGAGCCAGACAGAGGCCTGTGGGAGTGACTCACTGGTGGCTCTGCAACCAAGCCGCCTGGATGTGCCTGAACTGTGCCTGGTCCCCAGCTACCCAGCTGTGCGCCCCAGGCAATTGGCCTAACCTCTCTGGTCCAAGGAAAACTTGGGCCCCTACCCAGAGAACCAGGGATCACCCAGCTCCTCCTGACCGGTTTGTGGGAGGTCGAGTATGGGAACACAGCGCAGTGCCAGGACACCCTGGCCTGGAGAGGTTCACTTCCATCATCCCCTTCCCAACGTGGCTGCGAGGTTGCAGTTTAATGACAGCTGGCAGCTTTAGGACAGGAGGGGAAGCCCTGCCCCCTGGGGGCAGATAGAAAGACAGGGGGTCACCTTGTGTGTCTTCAGGGACAGACTCCATACATCCTCACCCTGGGTTTAGACCTCACCACCATTACTTATGTATTTATGAGCCGAGGTCTCACTATGTAGTCCAGGCCAGCCTTGATGCAATCCTCCTGCCCCGGGTTCCCAAATGCTGGGATTACAGGGCACCACCATACTCAGCTTTTTCTTTTTTAGACGAGGTTTCCCTGAGTTGCTAAATTGCCAAGATGGGCCTTGAATTTATAATCCTCCTGCCTCAGCCTCCTGGAAAGCTGGAATTATAGGCATGCACGGCTGTGTCTGGCTAGACCTCACCATCTTTGAAAGTTACAGGCTGCCAAGGGAGGGGATGTGGATATCCCTGCTCCCCTAGGACACTGGGGCTCACAATGTGCCCAGGTCACCCTCCTCTGCTGCCCTTGGGTCCCTTGCTGTGTTTCTGGGTCCACCAAGCTCAGGGCAGTGGGAGGTAGGCTGTGGGAGGTTTGGGTCCCAGAAGCACCCAGTATGTCCCCATAGTGTCACTAGTCCTTGGGCAGGGCACAGGGGCTTCATGGATACTGACGCAGCAGAGAGGAGAGGAGACAGAGCTGGGGAGAGGTGCATGGTTTATTTGAAATCATTTTAAAAAGAAAAAAGAATTCACAGCAGCATTTGACCTGTAGGGTTAGAAGGACTAGTGGACAAAGGGGCTGAAGGCAGGAGGTGACACAGTGGTGGCACATGGTGGCCATGGGGGCAGAGGCTCCCCTGGAGATGAGAGAGAACAGGTCCAAGGCGGAGGGACATCCTCGGGCCTGCGGGGCCCACAGCAGCTGTCTAGTTTCCCTCACTCTTGGCCTGGAGAGAGAGAGAGACTCACACTGGGCTCCACACCGCAGTCCGAGTGGCTGCCTCAGGGTCCCTCATAGGGGTCTCACCAGGCCGGGGGTCACTTCTCCCACAGTCCCTGTGGGGGCAGCGGAAGATCAGCGGCTCCCAACAGGTCCTACAACCCAGGGGAAGTGGAGGCTCGCAGCAGGGGCCCTGCCCAGGCCACTCCTACCTCCTCAGCTGCTCCTTCCTCTGCAGCTGCCTGGTCCTCCTGGGCAGGGACAGGTTGATCCAAGTCCTCCTGCAGGGGAACAAGGGGGCCTGAGATTTGAGGGAAGTCATCTGGGGCTTCTCTGAGAGAGGTCATCTGGGTTGCCTGGGACTCAGCTCCCACCAAGCTGACCCCAGGTCCTGGGTACCCCTGGTTGAGTCCCTTGATGAGGACACTTGGGGTGAGGGTAGGGTAGGGCTGGGATGGCAGAGGTTTGTGAATCACACAAGTGCACACCTTTGTCCCAACTGTCCCTCCAGCCCTAGGAGGAGGGCTATGTCCTAGTTGTTCATGGGGACCCTGAGGCGAAAGAGGGCTGTTAGCAGCAGGCCAGCTTGCTCCGGCACTCTCTGGTTCCCAGGCACAGGGACCCTCTTCCATCTCCTGTCCCCCTACATGCCAGCCTGACACCTCTTGCCTGGGTGGTCATGCCAGCAGGGATCAAGGTCAGCCTGATGATTAGCCCAGACCCTGGTCTCCACCCCGAATGCTGAGCTACTGTGGGGTCATCCTGCCCCTGGGTCATGGAGGGGGCATGAAAGGGCACAGAGCTGGCCAGGGGGGCTAGGGTCCCTGGGTAAAGGGCAAATGACCACCTGCTCATCCTGCTGCCCCCAGGCCAGAGCAAGAAACCCCAGGCATGGGTACTCAGTCCACTGGGGCATTGTGGGACTGGGCCTGGGTGTCACGGAGTGGTGTCCCCTGAGGCACCTCTGAGGGCTTATCTGTTCTTCAGGATCAATGTGGGGCTGCCTGGCACCTCCCCCAGGAACTATCCCCCAGGGCCTGGGCTCCTGGCACACATGGACATGGAGCCAGGTAGAGCCACTTCCTGGGGCTCCCTTCCCTACTGCATTCCACAGCCCAGCGAGACACACACCAAGACCCAGAGAGGTGACACCACTTCCCAGGGCCACATGGCTGGGCAGGGCAGGGCTGGGATGAGGACGGGGAGCAGATGCCCCCTCCAACACAAGGACTCATCTTGGGGGCCCTGGAAGCAGCTTCCTGTGCAGCCCCCAAAGCAGGCAGAGTGGAACCCTTCCCAGCCTTGCTAGAGCAGGGCAGCCCATATCAGCTGTGGGACCTGGGACCTGCATGCTCCAGGCCGGGGGCACCACGCCCGCATGGACTTGCTAAGCAACCTTCCTATTACTTCATCTTTCAGGCCTCAGATTCCACACTCCACTCATGAGACGTCTGTGCTGATTACATGAATCAATGAGCATAAAGACTCAGGCATCTGGGCAGCTCACACGGGGCCATCTCCTCCCTGCACTGTCCGCTGGGCTACATACGTGTGTGCACTCGGGTGTACATCACAACACACACTCTGCATAAGGCACATGTGCGAGAACACACACCCTGCATAAAGTACACATGCAAACTCCATGCACAAGGCGCACATACCCACACATGCACGCATGCCCGCACAAAGGCCAAAACTAGGGTGTGGTCGAAAGCCTCGCTGCCCTCCACCACCAGGGGGCGCTGCTCCCCCACTGCTCCTAATGACCCAGCTGGGCGAGGCTGGGCAAGGCTGGCCCCTGGGCAGGTGGGTGTTGGCTCTGTGGCTGCTGTCACCAGTAGAGCCCTGTGCATACTCATGCATTGTGGCCTCTCCTAGTGCTGAGAGCCAAGGGGCGGGCATGGTCTGGCCTCACCTTCCCTGTCTATAAAATGAGCCCTGCTCCCCACTGCAGGAAATATGAGGTGAGGGCCAGTGGACACTGTCCTAGGCATGTCCCACAGAAGTGACCCATCCCCCAGCCGCCCCTCAGGCCCAAAGACATCTGGAGACCAGGCTCACCTTGCGCACCACTCCAGCAGTGACCACAATGTTCTCCGCTTCCTCCACGGTCTTGTTGGCCACAGTGTTGACGCTGGTGACCACAGCCTCACTCACGGCATTGGCCTGTTCTTTAGTCTTCTCGGCCACTGAGGGAGCACCAGAGGACACTGGTATCGCCCTAGCAGCACCCCAGCCTTTCCTTTCCAAGCCCCTTCCCTGCCCCTATCTAGGAATGGGAGGCACAAACCCAGCAGGACCCCAGCTGTAGTGAGGACCTAGGCTTGGATGCAGGCACTTTGGCCCCCACTCCACCTCATTGCCTGGTCCAGGGTCCCCTCACCTGAGGTCACGCTCTGCACCACGTTCTCCTTGGTCTTGGCTCCTTGAGGGGAAATGGAGGCATCAGTCCAGGCCTGCATCCCAGGTTCTGGGCAGACACCATAGGGCAGGTGGCCAGGATAGGGCAGAGGGGTGGGGACAGTCTGGGGTCTGGCAGCCCTATCAATGGGCCACTTCCTGCTGTGTCCAGAGGAAGAGAAGGATGAGAAGGAGACAGGACAGGATGGGGGACAAAGGAGCCCAGGGACACTGCAGGGTCCAAGAGCCCAGACCTTGGCTGGGTGTGGCCAGGGCCTCAGAAGCGGCAGCAGATGCAGCTGAGTCACCAGCTTGGTCTGCCCTGCATCCTTTCCTTGGGGCAGGGACACCTGCAGCTGCTCTCAGCTTTGGGGCCTAGCTCAGGACCCAGCTCAGGGTGAGTGTGTTTGTGCACAGACAGGTGGCAGCCAGGCTGAGGTCTGAGGAGTCTCCTGGTGCATGGAGACCCTGTCCCAGAGACCGGAGAGGCAGCTGGAGGAGTGGATGCTTCAGGGCTGGGGAGCCCGCCTCGATGGCCAGGTCCTCACCCTGCCACAGCACCTCGGCCAGCTGGGAGGAAGGGCAGATCGAAGGTCACGGGCACCTGTCCTGGCCGCCACCCTGCCCTGCCCCACCATCCGCACTCACCCACATACATGACCCCCTCCTTCGTCTTCTCAGCTGCCTCCGTCACCCCCTGCTTGGTCTTTTCCACAGCGCCCACCACGCCCTCCTTGGCGATGGAGAAACCCTTCTTGAAGACATCCATGGTGGAGGTGAGGATGGAGACAACGGCTCTCTCGGCTGTGGGCTGGAGCTGGCTCGAGTGCGGCCACAGCCCGGTCCCCACCGCCCGGCACTGCCTCTTATTGACGCAGATGAAATATTGATGCTGTGGCTGCTGGCGGGAGCCCAAGCCAGCCGGGCAGTGGGGGTGGGGCGGCCAGGGAGGCGTCTCCAGGCAGACACAGCAGAGAGCAGGGCCAGGCCCCTGCAGGGTCACCCCTGCCCTCCTGCCCTGTCCCCCAGGAGGGTCTGGGGGCCTGCAAACATCCTGATTCATGCCCTCATCCAGCCCAGGTTGACCACGGCCTGTGCACAAAGAGGACAGGGGCCATGGCTGATGCCCAGCACCCCGGGTAAGGCCGGGGCTGGGTCCAGGAGTGACTGCCCCACCTGAGCCCGGGCTCCAGACTGACCTTTTGAGTAGCAGGGCTGGCCACGAAAAGGCCTCCCCGTGACCTGTACTCTGGCTGCTGGCTGTGTGATCCTGGAGGGCTCCTTGCCTTCTCTGAGCATCTTCCCGGGAGCCACAAAGAAAAGGGTGCTGAGGCAGCGCCATGAGTCCCCCCCACTTCCTGGCTACCAGTGGGAGTGGGCAGCAGGTTCCCTTGATATAGGACTTCCAAAGGGGGGAGGGAGATAGCATAACTCCCAACATGCTAGAGGTCAGATATGCCGAGTTTGTGTTCCCTAAAAGTGAAGAATGAATTCTAAAGAACAGAGGTTTAAGAGTGGGAGATGTTTATTGAGAGAGAGAGCTCCTAAGAGGCAGGAGGTGACCCAAAAGTGGGTTGCCAATGAGCCCACTTCTCAGAGGAAGTTTTACAGAGAATCTCAAAGTAGGCACAAAGTGGGACAAAACTGTAATCAACCAATAAGATTACAGAACAGCTGTTTAGGTAACAGTGATCCGGCAGGGAAGAAGGTCATGTAGAAGGTGTGCATGGAAAGAACAAGGACCATTTTTTGGAAAAGATGAGTCAGGAGGTCCTGGGTGACTGATGCCATTCTAGGCTTATTGGACCATAGCATTCTGTTTATCCCTTGGGGAGGAATGTAGGCCTAGTCCGTCCATCGTTACCTTGAGGCTGGTCCTTCAGTGAATGTGCCTCTAGCCACAGTCATAATGTGCTCTCATCTTCTGCACTGATTCCCTTGAGGGCTTAGCCCTGCCTGACTTCCCACATATTTCTACCTAACTTAACTGTCTATAATATCCTGAAACCAAGGAACCACTTCCTGCCATTCCTGTGTATTTCCTGGATGCCCCCAGGACAGATTCCCAAGGGGATGGTTTGCAGGGCCACCCCTGTGTCCTCCATACCCACAGTGTCCAGGGGCACAGGAACCAGCACACGTGGTTGGCGGCCTCTGTGGGGACCAGGCAGGGGATAAGGGGGGCCGGACGAGACCCACAGAGCGGGGCTGGCCCCAGCCACTTCCTCTCTTTGTTGTCCCCGTGTTTTCTTTTCCTTCTGTGATTTGACTTGAAGACCACGTCACTGGCAGTCCTGGAGTCACTTGCTGCCTACGCTTGCCTGGCCACAGAGATGATCCTGACTCTGCTGATCAGCCTTGGGGGCCCCCTGGGCTGGGGGGTGCTGGGAATCAGGGCTCAAGCTCCTGACAGCAGCTTCTCTGATCCCCAGAGACCCAGGCCTCTGGTAGTCCTGGGAGCCAAGGTTGAGGATGGTATCAGGGGACCCGGAAGAAGGTAAGGAGGGCTGGGCCTGGGCATAGATCCTGGGCAGCATCTGTGGAATGGGCCAGTACTGCCTGTCCTGGATCCAGCAGTGATATGTGGCACTGGACCAGGGCATTGGGGGCACTTTAAGGCCTGGATTGGGCACCAAGAGGGACAGGGAACTCTGGATCAGGGGTAGGGGGCCGGCTTCCCCATGTGCATCCAGAGTGGATCCCTGGGACCCTGGTTCCCTCAAACTCCAGCTGGGAGGCCCCATTCCTCTCTAAGGAAATCACCCAAGGCTTGGGGGCAAAAGTCCTGGGGACAGGGCTTGGGTGTGGGCACCCAGGGATTTGAGACACAGCCCTGCTGGAAATGGGCAGGTGCTCCCACAGCCAACATTCTCTCTGTGCAGGGCCAGAGCCTCTCTGGCTGGGAGGACTCAGGAGGGCGTCCCCAAGGTTGGAGGAGCCCAGAGCCTCCTCTCCAGCCCCCTACAATCAGAGCAGCAGGTGCCATTGCCAGGCCAGGCATGCAGCCAACTTTGGTATGAGGGAGTCTCCCCAGCAACTCCTCACAGAGGAGGAGCCAGAGGCTCAGAGAGGCTGAGCAACTGACCCCAGGTCACACAGCTGAAGGGACCCGACGCTGTTTCTCTCTGGGATCCAGAGAGCAAGGGTCAGCTCCCAGAGACTCACAGGAGTGAGGGAGGGGATGGTATGTGGGGAAACACCACCCTGGGTTCTGCTCTGGGCTACCCTTGGTTCTCTAGGCTGGAGATGTAGCAAACCTTGCTGGGAAGCCCAGACTCCTAGACCTGATTTCAGGACCCAGCACGCAGCCTGCGCTCCCAGGGCCCTCGGTTCTATGCTCATCTGGATGGGGGGACAGGACAGCCCCCCTCTTCCTCCCACCCACCCACTGGCTTGTCTGGGATGGGATTGTGTGGCCCCCAGTACTCGCAACAGGCTGGTCCCCTTCCCACCTGCGGAAGCTGAAGACCCACGGGGCAGGGGGAAGCATCCGGAGGGAGCGAGAAGGGAAGGAACCGCTTCCAGGATGGAGGCTTCCCTGCTCCTGGGAAGGAGGCGGAGGTGAGCAGGAAGCGCTGGCCTGCGACTCCAAGGGAGGACACTGCGGGCCCAGCCCCCCTTTCCCCTGACAACCCTGAACAGAGCGACTCCGTGCCTGATGCCCAGAGTCCCCTCTGGCCAGGCATGGCCAGCTGCCTCTTCAGCCCTGGGGAGCCCCTGGGAGGAGGCCGGGAGCCAGGGCCCTGTTCACACAGCTGTGCGGACCTGTGCTGGGCGGAGCCTTGAGAAGGTTTGCTCCCAGGCCCAGGGCACCGATGTCTGCAGTGCTGTCCCCCAGGGCCCGGCCCTGACGTGTCAGAGACAGGCCCCATATCTGCCAGGCTGCAAGCCCCAAGTATCCTCTAACCTAACCAAGGAGCTAGAACACGAGGGCTGCTCCCTGTGGCAGGGCGGCCGGGCGCCAGCATCGGGCTTCTCCCAGGGGCAGGGGTCCGGCTGTCTGCAGCAGAGTGCTCAGGCTGTACCCCAGGCCCCTGTCCCCTCACGCGGGCCACAGCCCGGCTCCCCGTGCCACACTCGGAGCCCGGGCTCATTCTTTCTGGGACAAAGCCCTTCAAGCATCTCCCCGACCGGTGGTCATGCTGCTGGACAGATTCAGGGCTCCAGAGCGAGGCCAGCGGGGCTTCTGTCCCTTCCTGGGAGGTCTCAGCCCGGGCCTGGGCACTAAGTGCTCCCCTAGCGGGGGGGGGCACCACATCCATTATCCGCCCCTCCCAGCCACTCTGCCGCCCGCAGCCTGTCCCCAGGACCGCAGCTTCTCCGTGTTTCCAGGAGTGGGCAGGGCCCTGCTCAAAGTCACGGGGTCCAGAGAGGGCGGGCGGGAGAGCTGGGGCCCCCGTTCAGGGTGGGGAGCAGGCCCGAGCACCCCGTACACACCCCAGGTCCCGCCTGACCCTCCACAGACCCTTGGAGAAGGGGGCTCCCCAG